TGCGCTGCACACCTCGCGACAAAATACGGAAATATGGGAAGCTTCCAGCCAACACTGCGTTCCAATCCCGAAACAACAAGCTGGACATGGCATTGCCGTCTCCAGACATCACGCGCATGCTCCATTCCAATGTTGCGCATCCAACAACGCCCCATGAGCCTTCAGTTCCCATGCCAAAAAGATCCGAGTAGTCAGGTTGAGAATTTTCCTGGTTCCTCACGCTTAGGAACCCCAGCGCCGATTGGCAATCTTCGGCAATTGGCGAACGTTGGGCTTCTTGTTCTACCAAGCACTCTGAAATCCGCCACCGTGCATCACGGCACGTTGAGGCGTGCTAGAATGCCAAATGCTGTATGGTTGGGCTTCTGTAAATTCCTTCGGACCTCCACCCGGGGCCACAGTCACCCGCGAAATGCGACGCACTCGCGCTGCCCGGGCCCAACTGCCTTCAAGACAAGACCGCCCAGTATCGCTCCAAGACGGGCCTTTGTGGTCTCAAGACTGCCCACGATGGCTTCAAGGCGGTCCATGAGACCTTCGGGGCGTTCCAAGAGAGCCGTAAAAGGCTTCCCAAGAGGGTCCCGAGAGGCACAGATCATTGATTTTCATGATTGTTCGGGCTGTCGCCTTTTCGAGCTTGCGACGTCCCAAGCCGACCCGAGAGTCCACCAGGATTGCCCCTAACCGGCCAAAGAGGCCCCCAGGCCCCCAAGACGGCCCAAGAGTACTCCAAGGCGGCCCCAGAAGCGCCCAATGATGCTTAAGAGGGCCCCAAGACGGCCCAAAGAACGGCCCAACAGGGTGAACACGAACCGACAATTCGAGCCTTCCGCCCCAAGAGGGCTCAAGAGGCCCCAAGGGGGCTCAAAGAGGCCCCCAAGAGGGCACCGAAAGGTAAACACCATGGATTGTCCATAGCTACTTTAATATTTGTTGGGTTCTCGCCTTTTCGAGCTTCCGACGCTTCAATACGGCCTAAGAGGCATCCAAGACTCCCCCGAGATGGCCCAAGAGGCCACCACGAGGGCTCCAAGACGGACCAAGATGGCTCCAAGACGGCCCAAGAGGTGCCGAAGACTGCCAAAGGGGGCCCAAGACTGGCCCTAGAAAGGCCCAAGAGTGGGAACACGAACCAAGCAATCGAGCCTTCCGCCCCAAAAGGTCCTCAGCAGGCCCCCGTGCCTTCTCGAATAGTTGCCACCCAGAATGCTGCGCGCCCGCGGTGGCAGAATTGCCAGAGGCAGCCAAATAGATGACGCAGAGGCAGGCACTGCTTTGCCGAAAACACTCGTGGCTGCGCGCGCCAGCCCTGCACCAGTCCCAAGTGACACACCAGCTCTATAGAAAATCATGCAACGGAGGGCCATCGAGTCACGGCATGGAATGTGCTCTAACTGGTGGAGAACGTACGCCACAATCGCTCGAGCTCGAAGGGCAACAAGGAGGAGGACGACGAAGAAAGTGGGGACGAGGGGCACAGGTAGAAGCTTGCGGAAGAATCGGGACTCCTTGGAGCACTTTAGGGCTACCCTGGGAGCTGCTGGGACCGTCTGGGGGTGTCGTGGGGCCTCTTGGGAGTCTTGTGAAGGCCTTCTGATGTCCCCTGTGTGGCTTCTGGGGACTTCTTGAGCTGGGCGCACCTCTTGGGTTACCTGGGGGCTCGTTTGGGCCGTATTGGCGCTGTCTTGGGGCGCTCTTGGGAGTCTTGCTTGGGGCCTCTGCGGGGTCCTTTTTGGGACCTCACGTGGCCGCCTGGAGGCCATCCAGAAGCGATGCCGATCCCACCCCCGACCCTGCCCCCTGCCTGGGACACAAACGACACAAGCATTAAAACAATATTAAAGATATGTCGTCGAGGCCGGGATCTTGTTTCCTGCTGTGGGCAAGACCTGAGAAGCCTGAGTGGACAAGAACCGGAAGCGCCGCCGCTCTGGACTTGCGCGAGCGCACGTGCAAGGATGTGCGCCCAAAACAGAAATCAGTGCATATCCACCACCGTGCCTTTGGGCACGGAGTGGGCGCGTCCTCAGGTCCTTTGCCCAATCCCTAGAGCCTCAGTCCTCAGTCCTGAGGAGTCTTTCAAAGGCCCCGACCCCCAAAATCCCAAATCCCCTGGGGCTTCCTGCGTGCCCCCTGGGCTCCAGGAAGTGTTCTCGCATGGCTTTTTCGGGCCCGAGAGGGCCCAAAGACGGGCCAAGCAGGCCCTACGAGGCCCCCAAGACGGTCCAAGAGGGCCCCGAGTCGCCGAAAGATCGTTCCAAGACGCCCAAGATGGCCGCAAGATGAAGACACGCCAAGAGGCCTCCAAGAGGCCTCCCAAGAAGGCCCCAAAAGGCAAACATCATGGATTGTCCTTCGGTTTTTGCATGATTTGGGCGTTCTCGCCTTTTCGGCTCTCCGACGCTCCAAGACGGCCCAAGAGGCGCCCAAGACGGCCAAATCCAATACGGCCCCCAAAGTGGCCCAGGAGAGGTCACCACAATCCGAGCCTTCCGCCCCAAGAGACCCCCAGGAGGCCCCAAGAGGCCCCCAAGAGGCCCCGAAGAGACCCCTAGAGGCCCCCAAGAGGCTCAAAAGAGGCCCCAAGAGGCCCCCAAACGGCGCCCAAACTGCCTCCAAGAGGCCCCCGAGAGACCTCCCACGAGGTCCTACCGAACATCCAATCGGCTTCACACCCACAACCCATGCACGTTGGCGTGATGGGCCGAAGGCCATTAGATAGTGCCGTCGCATTGCATCCCACGAACAGCTAGGTCGTTGCCATCAGAAATATGTGTGAAGTGGTTGCCTGTGGTTGCCTTCGTTAGGTGCTGCGCGTGGCGTGTGAGCATACACAGTTGTATATACATAGGCACATACGTACATACATACATACATACAGACAGACAGACAGACCGACAGGCAGGCAGACAGACAGACAGACAGACAGACAAACGGACATACAGACAGGCAGACAGACAGACGTTTACACATACACATACACATACACACACTTAGACATACACATACACATACGTACATGCATACATACAGTCGTACATACATGTACACACAAACCATACATACAGACAGACACACGGGCATCAATGCCTTCAAACGTACAAACATACATGTATACATGTGTACATACATACATACATACATGCATGCATACATACATTCATACATACATGCATGCATGCATGCATGCATACATACATGATTGCGTTCATACATCCATGCATACACACATACACACATACATGCATGCATACAGACATCATTACATGCACACATACATGCATGTATACATGCATACATGCAGTCATACATACATGCATGTTTATCGGTATGCATACATACATGCATTCATTCATACATACATGCATACACATACACACATACATGCATGCATACATACGTAGATGTGTGTACGGTGATCGTGCCGAATGTGTATTGGAAAGGCGGAAGAAGAGGTCGTACGGTGCGGGTGCAGAGTGTATGCTGGGCGGACGATAAGGGGAGCGTACGATGTGCGTGCCGAGCGCGTACTTGCGGGCGCGGCGGGGGGGGCGTACGGTGCGTGCCAAGTGTTTGTTGCACGCATGTCGTGTGTACGGGATACATTCTACGGCCCAAAATTTCATGTACGTTTCGTGAGATGAATGTGTGCGTGCGTCGTGTGTTGATTGTGCGCTGTGTCATTTCGTGTGTCTGCTGTGCTCTGCGATATACGTTGCGTCTTGTGTATTGCGTGTGTACGCGTATCTGTGTTACGTGACGCGTGCGGGTCTGCCGCGCTGGTCGTCTTGGCCTGCCGTGCTGGTCGTCTTGATCTGCCATGCTGGCCGCGATCTGCCGTGCTGGTCGCTGGTCGTCTCTGTCTCTTGGTCTGCTGGGCTGGTCGTCGTGGTCGGCCGTGCTGATCGTCTTGGTCTGCCGTGCTGGTCGTCTTGGTCTGTTGTACTGCTCTCGATGCAAAATTATATTGGGTACGTCGTGTTGCTGGTATGGTCCGTGCTGGCGTGCTGTGCCGCTGTGGTCTGCCGTGCTGGTTCCTGCACACACACAGCATTCCCTGCCCGCTAAATACCGGTTGCCGAGACGGTTTGCTCCGCATGGTGCCGCTCTTCCCCCCCCAAAGCGAGCCGTGCGAATGACAATGGAAACTACACTGTTCTGCCATCGGGGACCCGCGCCCCAGAGCGGCTGGAAAGTTCATATCCCTGAAGTGGCAGATGGGGATAGAAGGATAAGAGCTTTCCAGCCGCCCTGGGGCGGGGGTCCCCGATGGCGGAGCAAGAATGTGTTGTACCGTTGCTCGGCCGCTGAGGTGGGGCGTCTGCGGGCCGACTCCCGGAGTTCGACATCAAACTCTTCCCTTGTTTAGCCGTCGCGGCCTCGCGCGCAGCGTCGAGGTGGAGAGAGTCGAAAATAGTGGATGCGCGCGCGTCTGCTCGCCCGAGCCCTCAGTGACTTGCCATCGCTGGGACGTCCACTCCTCATGCATCTTTTGGTTTCGTGCGTGTTTTTGTTCGGCTCGATGTTCCAGGGTGCTCCTCCATGGTCCTCGCCGGCAAAAAAGAACACGTCCGAGCGATGCCAAGGTAACCCGCTTAGGGTCACCCAGCAGCTGGCCGCCGGAGCCATCTGGGCGCGGATACACGGGGGGACAGTGGGCCCGAGCTGCTCGCACTTTTTTGCGTCGGCGGCTAGGCAGAAGGACTGCGCCGGCGTGCAAAGCAAGACGGGGCGCGTCAGGCGAACTCAACCACCATGCAGGAGCCAGGGAGGGGAGAGAACGACGAGGCGCCGGCCCGAGGAGCCGGGCTTGCTCGGAGCAGCCCAGGAGCGTGGCGGGGCCGGCGAGCTGCTCACGCACGAAGAGGCAGGCCCCCGGGCCTCGCACGCCGGGCAGGCCTGCGGGATCGGAGCTCACGGCCTCCTCGCGAGCCCCCCCTCCGTGCGGCGGCCGCGCGCGCGCTCTCCCCGGCGGCCCTGCGGGGGGGGGGGCGGCGGGCCTTGGCCTCCGGGTTGAACGCAAACTTGGACCTGCGGCAGGCGGCGCCGCGGGGGGGCCATCGGGGCGGAAGCGGCTGCACATCGTCGAAGGGTGGGCAGTGGGCCCTCGACGGCACATCATGCGCGTTCCCGGGCGGGGCGGGGAGGCCCCATCGGCGATCCACGGGCGGGAGCGGCGAGGCGTCGCCGGTACGTCGTCGATGAGCCCACGAATCTGCACGCTCCTGGGAGGGGCGAGGCTCTCAAGCCCCCACTCGGCGATCATTGGGCAAGTGGGGGTCGATGCGTACCCCCCTGAGTTGAGCAGGGACCGACCGTCCTGGCATTCCTATAGGTCTACCACGACATGGTTCAGAACCCAATAGTGTTCTAGGAACAAAAACCATGTTCTCAGAACATAAACCCGATGTGTTAGAAACCAAGACAGTCCCAGCCAGAACTGCCCTAAAAACATTTCGTGGAAACCACAAAGAAGGTCTCAGAACATTGTTTGGTGGGCCGCCTCGCCACTGCTTGACTGAGCCTGGCCCACCCCGAAGGAGCCCTTGGGGTGAGGGGCCGAGGGGAGGGATGCGGCGCCTGGAGGGGGCGGTCCTCGGGCCCACGCTCGGCCACGGAGCAGGCAGCGAGGAGGCAGCGATGAGGAAGCACGCAGCGTGGAGGACGAGGAGGACGAGGAGGGCGAGGAGGACGAGGACGAGGAGGCCGAGGAGGACGAGGACGAGGAGGACGAGGAGGACGGTGAGGATCCTGCAGCATGGACTGGCCTGTCCCTCAAGACCCAGCTTTGGGACAGCAAAATGGTGAGGGGGACGGGGAAGCTGAGCGGATGAGGAGCGAGCGAGCGGGCGTCCATCCGACTCTGCTGCGAAAAAAAACACACGCGCGGATCTGGGCGGGACAAGAAGAACCGCAGCCCGCAGCCCCCTGGGGAAACAAAACACAAGGGCATGATCTCATGCCGCGGTGGCGAACTGGCTCTCCAGATGCCTTTCTCCACCATCTGAAGGAGATGATGACAGACGGGGAGCGAGGATGAGGTGGAGATGGAGGAGAGCCCGAGGGGGAGCAGAAGCACGAGAGCAGTGCCGTCCGCTCCGCCGAGACGTATATTCTTGGGGCGCTCGGCTCAGGAGAGGATGCAGGACATGGAGTGCCAGGAACCAGGACGGGGAGGGGAGGGAGGAGAGCACCAGGGGGGGGGGAGAAAGAGGCAAACAGAGAAGCCGCCACCCGCTCCGCCAAGGCGCAACCTCGGGGCGTTCGGCGGCTGGCCGCCGTCCGCCTCTCACCACCCCCCCTTTGCCTTGCGCCTGGCGACGCTCTCCGCAGCACGTCCAGCGGTGTGCCTCTCCCCCCCCTCCCCCCTTCCGAGGAGGAATTGTACCCCTTTGCCCTGCGCCCGGCGACACTGCCGCCCCCCCCCCTCGCCCGCGCGGGCAGCGGGTTGCCTCTCCTCCCCCTCCCCTCCCCCTCCCAGGAGGAGTGCCCTCTTTGCCTTGCGCCTGGCGACACCACCCGCCCCCCCCCTCTCGCCCGCACGTCCAAGGTGAATGCTTGGGCGGGAACCGGCCTTCTCGGATGCATGGTCTTAGAACGAAAACATGTTCTAAGAATACACATGTTTTTAGAACCTGATAACCGTCGACTGAACCCCGGCTGTCTCAGCCAGACACGGTCTCAGAGCACTTCTCGCGCAGAACAAGAACTGGGGTGTCCAAGATTCTCTAGCGGGCCCAGAACCAAGTCAGGACGCTTCGCCGATGCTTGAGTTGCTTTAGACGGAAGAAATGGGGGCAATGCCAGTGGGGGGGCGGTAGGAGGGGCAATAGTTCGCGTGCGCTAATTATTGCGTGAACTCTTCTGCGAACTACTGCTGGGGGGGCACCAGCGACTGCGAGGAGCGCAAACTATTGCGTCTGCATCTGCGCGCAACCATTGCGCCCCGATTGCAAACTACTGCATCCATGCAAAACCTACTGCAAACACTGTTGTACATACTCCCGCAGCTCCACCTAAAAAACCCACTACTGGAAGGGAGGAGAACGGGGACCATGACCAAGACTGAACGCGGAAACTTTCTGTCAATCTTGGTCACCGTCGATCTTGGTCAGCGTCATTTCGTGGACCCTCGCAGATCGACGACGGCCGACGGGCCAACATTAACCATGAACAAAATCGGAATCGACAACATCTCGCGATATCTTGGTCATGGTTCCCGTTTCTCTAGCATGGGGGAAACGGGTCCTGAGGGAAACGGGTCCTGGATCCCGGTGCCTTCCCCCAGGATGGAATTCTCCATCCTGCGCCGCTCTCTGCCGAGTCCTGGGGCCCGTGGAGGGCCCCGAGAAAGAGCCTCCGGACCCGTCTCCCTCAGGACCCGCTTCCCCCCCGACGAGCTATTCTCCTCGGCGGCGCGCACAAGGGGGTGGAGGGAGGGGGGAGGGCTTCTTAGAAGGAGGATGCTCCTTAGAAGGCACCGGCCGTACATCTATAAATAAGGCCCGCGCCTTCTCAGAAGCAGGGGTGTTTCTAAGAAGCCCAGCCCCCTCCCCCTCACCCCCCTCTGCGCGTGGCTGATCTCCCCTCGAACTGCTCCGGCTCAGAGCTGTCCGCCCCCGTGCCAGCTGTGGCCCCACCCCTACGCTCCCCCCCTGGCCGCCGACCGCTGGCTCGCCACCGTGCGGCGCCCCGCCGCCCGCGCGCCCCGCCGCGGGCGGGCCGGCCGCCGACGGGGAGGGAGGACGTGCGGGCCGTCCTCGTTGCTTCTCTCTTGCGGATCGACGCTAGTCGACAGCAGTCGACGCCAAGTCGACGCCGATCGGGGCTCGTCGACGCTTTGCGGCACTTGCCTCGGCGGCGTGCACGGAACCACTCGGAGGTCCACGCGGAGTTCTGGGGTCGGCGCAGGAGGCGCCGCCAAGGGGGTCCAGCGGCCAATCCAAGATTGGGGACGCACTGACCCGGGTCAATGCAAACCCAGGTCAATCGGGCTTATTGCCGGATCCTGCAGGATCCTGCGCGCTGACCCGGGTCAATGCACCCCTGGCTCTGTAGGATCCTGCAAGATTCCGCGATCTGGCTGACCCCCGTTTGAACCGACCCCCGTCTCAAGGCTCCCGCCCAAGAGTTTCGCGCGGACCTCCGGCGGGCCAGGTCGCTGCCTCTTGGGCGCGACTTAAAGCTTAGAGGGGGGTCGAAAAATTGGGAAGGAGAAAAGTGCCCTCTTCGGGCCCTTGAACCCGTAAAGGGGCCCCGAAGGGCGTCTGTTCCCCCCCACCCATCGCCCCCACACTCATCGCGGCCCAAGCAGCATGTCGCTGCCTTCCGGGAGCACCCGAGCCCGAGCCCTTCCGCCGCCCCGACGCTGGGCCTGGGCTGCGTCGGGGTCGTGCTGATGCTCTCGTCGAGCGCTGCGTCGTTTTGCTGCACGATGCAGGCCGCGCTCGCTGCCGCTGCGGGCCAGTGCGGCCCGCAGCAGCATGCCAGGGAAAAGGGGGGAGGGAGAGGAGGGAAGGCGAGGGGGAGGGTGGAAGGGAAGGCGAGGGGGAGGGCGAGGAGGTGAGGGGGAGGGTGGAAGGGAAGGCGAGGCAAGGGAAGGAGGGCGAGGAGGAGGGGGGAGGACGTCCTCCTCCTCGCCTGCACCCAACACTGTTGCAGCGTTGCTTCTCTCCCGCTGCACGCCCACCACCAAAAACACACACACAAACAACAGGAACGAGAAGGCAGCAGTCAGAAGAGCGAGACGGCGCAACGGTTCCGCGGCCGATGGTCCGGGCAGCGCCGAAGTTCGCGGACGACGAGCGGTCGAATACAAGCATAAATCTGTCCGCCGTCGGGGACGCCTGTCCCAGGGCGGCCGGGAAGTAAATGTCCCCCACGGTGGCACGTCGGGGTAGTTGCAAATTTTCCAGCCGCCCTGGGGCAGGCGTCCCCAACGGCGGGAACGCTCCTGATACACAGTCCTTCGTCCGCTACAGACAACCCGTACCAGAAGGATGCGTGGTAAAGACGCAAGGGCCTTGGAGGGACATGCAGGCGTTTTTCGAACGAGGTCGGCCGGCGAGAGTCGCCAAGGATGGGCCGAAGGGGAAAGATGCGAGGGTAACCTTGGCAAGTCGCGCATCCTTCCTATGCGGGCTGACTGCAACAGAGGGCACGAGGGCGGGGGAGCGCCCTGAGGCAGGCGGCCCCGACGGTGGGACATTTCATGCTACACAGCTCTTCGTCCGCTAACACAAGGCACGAGGGCGGGAGAACGCAACCAAAACACGAGGTGGGGAGCCCGCCTGGAAGGGGTCTCGTCGCCCACAGGCACCACCTCGGCACCTTTTTTCGGCGCGCCGCTCCTCCTCTTCCTCCTCCTCCTCCTCCTCCTCCTCCTCCTCCTCCTCCTCCTCCTCCCCCTGCTCCTCTCCTGGATTACCGATTTATTGGGTTACTCGTTACACACAGCGCCATATCAAATAACAAATGATGCAAAACAGCGCCCTGCAAGGAAACTCTTACACCACTCCCCTCGCTGCCCGCAATTCCCGGCCCAAGGGTGGGAAAGCGATTGAATTCGAAATTGTCACTGCAGTGCCTGGCAGGAGCCTCCTCTTGAACTTCCTGCTCTCCGACGATACGCCCCCGTCGCAAAAGCCTCTCAACTTTGGGCCCGCATTGCAAGCGGTGACGGCATCGCAAGCGACGCAATGCACCGCAGAGACCCAAGAGCCAATAACCCAAGCAACGTGGAATGTGTGGTGATTCCTGGGACAAGACAACTCTCGAGCAAAAGGCTCAAGCCAAAGCTCAGCGTTGAATGCCACTTTGGGCCCCAGGTAACGGAAACACGAATTGCGCCTGGGCTTGCCATCGTGCCCAATGGGAGCGCGCGGGTTGATGTGCCTGGGGAGTCGGCGCTTCGGGCCACCCTGGAAACGAACCAGCTCACCCCACTCGCCAAAATTCGGCCACTCCCCACGCACCTTCCCGACACCGCGAATTAGGGACAGGTAGGACTCAGTAGCCTTAGTGATAAGATTATCAGTAGAACTATTGTAAGCATGGGAACGGGCGCCTGGTCCTGCATGGTGGTCGGCCGTGCGGTTTCCCCTGCAGAGGATCTTGGGCTCGTCACTGGGCGACTCGACTTCATGATGATGCCCTTTGAATTTTGTGCGAGGGGGGGGGGTCAAGGAAGTGTCTGGCGATCCCCCTCCACGCGTGGGCCTTGACGTTGGCACCCGACGAAGCCCAAGGGAAAAAGGCCGATGCCTTCATGAGCGTGACATAGTCAACATGTAGGCGGCCTCTGGCGCACTTGTCTTGACTGTGCACACAAGACAACAGGATCGCACCGCGCTCTGCAGTCTCACTGGTCTGCGTCGTGGCGCATGGGGGCCGGCTGCGCAACCCGCGGATGCGGTCTCCAGACCCACCCACCTGGACTTCGCTGACACCCGCTCGGGAGAGGTGGCTGAGGCAGGGGTAGAGGCACGACCCATCGGTGAAAACGATTGGCAGCTGAAGGGAGAAACAAACTTGGCAACATCTTGCCCATCTTCACAAAATCAGGTAACATGCCAATCACTAGCGGGGGGCTCGCTGCTGGCATCAAGGCAGGAAAGCCACCCTCTGCTGCGCAGTAAGGGCGCGGGCGCCTCCCCGATGTCTTCCCTGGCGGCAAGTGCCAGAGGGCAAATGCACTTCCAAACTCTGTGCCAGGGGGGCGTCTCCCCCTTGTCGCACTGGGCTGGGGCACTTGCATCCCCGCTTGTTCAGCGCCGAGCCAGCCGGGGAGGCCCCGCAAAAGAACCGACAAAACTTGACCCTCTCCGTCTGTCGTAGGTCCACCTTGCGAGACGCGATCAGCTGGCGCGTTAGCCCCCACCACAAGCAAAAAGCCTCAATATCAGCCATGTTGTGTAGGGACCTAGTGCAGACCAGCTTGACATGGCCTCATGCATATCCTTTAACAGGTCAACAAACGTCTGCACAACAAGCAGGGACGAGACTTCCGTTAAACTTAACATGGCACCGGATCGGTCCACCAGGATCCCAGGGCCCTGGGCGCCCCAGCGGGCTTCCTCAATCCAGAGAAAGGCGCCCGAAAAAAAAGGGCCCGCGGGACCTGGACAACAAAAAAATCCCCCTTGGAGCTGGTAGCTCGATCTAGGGCCAACTGGGGGGCTCTAGCAAGGGTGGCAGGGGGCGGGGCGTCTCGGTGAGGCGTCTGAGCTGAGAGCGCTGGGGTAGACATCCACCATTCAGCAGCCCCCCCCCCCCCCCCAACTGCGTTTGAAGCGAGATCGACGGGGTCGGACAGGCTGCAATTACTCCAAGCCGAATCGAGCTGAGCCCCTCTGAAAGAAACCTCCACCTATTCCTGCCCGCGCACGTGCCTGCCCGATCCAGCTGGGACCGATGGCGTGGACCTCGGCCCCATGAGGTGTAGGTTTGCGGCTGGTCTGGAACAGCCTGCTGCGACGTCCTGCTGTCAACATCGCACGTGTCATCCATGTCTGCGTCGGCTCGCACCAGGTCTAAATTTGCGTCTGCCTCCGAGGTGGTCAATCCCAATGTAAATAACGGCTCCGTTGGTGGGCCGAGGTCCTCCAAGTTCCGGAGGCTCGACGCGCAGCCTGGAGAGGGGGCCCACATGAGACCGCCAAACCAAACCTCTTGCACGCCATGGGGAGGCTGGGGGCTCTGGGCGAAGAAAGTGTGGACCGTCGCAGCAATCTCCTTAAGCGCACTCACAACTTCAAACACCTTGTCTCCCCACTGCCTCAGCGCGAAGTCATCGACGAGAAGGGGGAGTTCGGCAGTGTCGTGCGTGCTCTCTGCGAAACTGCCCACGGCAAGCTTAAGGAAAACTTGTGCCTCGTACGAGGCCAGCGCGGCGCCTGCCGCCATTCCGTGCTTCGGGGAAAAAACATTGTCCATGCGGCAATCCAGCAACAAGTGTCGGGGCCACTTGCAGGTGGAGATGCCGAACAAGATGAAGCGAGGGGGGCGCCGGCACAGCTGTCCAGCCTGGATCGACAGGTCGCGTGATACACGTTCGTAGAACTGCCCCATGCCCCACGGGACCCGGAGCGAAAAGCCTCCAAATAATACAGCAAGCTCCGAGATAACGCTGTGCCTCCAGACGGCGAGGGGGGCCTCTCGGGCGCCATGGGGCACCGCCCGTTGAGGCCGCGTTGGAGCTCCCAGTCTTTAGCGGCACCTGTTTGCAGTTTGCCAAACAGGCGACTGAATCCAGGGCAATGACCAAGAGGGCGCTCGGCATCGGGCTCGGGCCTCGGGGCCAAGACGACGACAAGCCCACTGGTCTGAGACGGTGCCCTGCACGTGGTCTGCGTGAGCTGGAGCGGCAAAGCCATCGCATTGAGCGCCTGGTAAAAGAGGAACGACAAATGTCTTGGATGCCAGCCATCAGGCGCGCACGTGAGGGCCTTGAAACTTTTGGACTGCTCGCGGTGCCAGCCCGCGCCTGGCCTAGCCCCGGCAGCGCACCTCGGCGGTGCATCTACGCAAGGACTGGGGGTAGTGGTAGCACCCCAAACCTCGGGCCAAATCTCGCGCTGGCGCGTGACCCTCTGTCCCAAGCAAATGCTGTGGAGGACCTTGCCAATCTTTTCATCCGCGAGGTCTCCACTGGGCCCCTAGGTGCCATGCTGATGGGGCATGCCTTCAGGAAACTCGCGGGCCCTCTTGGGCCCGTCGCCGTCAACGGCTTCCTGGCGCGAGTCTGTCCAACTTGTCCTGCCCATATGTTTCCCAGACAGGCGGATGTAATATGTCAGAAAGTGGCGAAACCGATGAGGTCGTCCCAGGCGCCCAAGGCCCCCTTGGGCCCCCCGAGGATGATCGCACCAATGGCCTCCAGGATCGGGTCCCAGAAGTCGACGCCAAGCTCCCGTGAATTCCTCGCAGGGCCGCCTACGCGGCCCAAAGAAACGAACTGGTTGGCGAGCAAGTGGAGATAGGGGTGGGCGTTGCGGGTGTTCCCCCTGTTGGCGATGGTGCGGATTTCGCGCAGGTCCGCCCGCGACCCAGCCAGTGGTTCTGGGGGGGGTGGGGGAAGGAGAGAATTCTCGTCGCCGACGCTTTGCTTACAAGTTTGAGCTCGCGCTCCGTGGGTTGCCCGGCTGGAACTCCGCGCTGGTTCGCCCCCCTGGCGGTCTTTATCTCTTGCCGCGCCTGGCCGTTCCAAACTGGAGAAAGCGTCGCTGGGAAGGTGGGCGGCAGCATCGCGCATGGGGCCCTCGGGCGCAGAGCGCTCAGCATCAGGGCCTCCCGTGCCGTCAGCAAGAAGGACCAGCCGATCGAGCATCGCGCTGTAGTCAGGCGGGGCAGGAAGAGGGCCGAAAGGCACCGACGGGGGACCCTTCTGGCACGGCTTCGGATTGAGGACGGTTCGGTCATCGAGCTTGCAGTCGATCGAAATCTTGACGGGTCGACGCGGCTTGAAGTCGGTCGAGAGGTCGGGGGTAGCGTCGCAGATTCCCGAGGCCCCTGTGCGCCACAGAGAAATGGATGGTGGACGCTGCCGGCCTGCCGTCCACGGCGCCGACGCAAGTGGGGGCGTTGGCAGGATCGCGGGCCACGCCCGCCAACAGCGGCAGATGGGGCGCCCATTGAAACAGTTGCGGGCGAGACTTCGACATCAGAGCCGAGGATGCGGGGAAACCCTCTGGGCGCAACTGCTGGCCCAAACCTCTCCTCGATCTCGATGTTTCTGGGGGGCGCGCCTTCTAAACCGCAGAAGTATGCCGAACACGCCGCCAAGAGAAACAACCACCAGGGGCGATCTCGGGGCATTTGACTCAGGCGTGCAAGTGGCCCTCAGCGAGCGCCGCGGCGCCTCCAGAGGCCCTGCCCGCAGCGGGGAGAATGGCAGGAGTCCCAGAGACGCGCCGCCCATGTCCTCTGAGTTGGTCCGGGATATCCTGTCACTTGACTGGGGGAAGCCTGCGTTCCTGGATGAGAATGACGTCCGCGCGCAGGTAGCCGCACAACAAAAAAACTAAACGTGTCATCGTCTCCGCTCTGCCTGGCCGTCTGCGCTCGCCGCTCTCCGCGGGGGCCCGGCGCGGGGGTGCGCAGGAAAACTTGTCATCCTGATGCGTTCCTTGCAGAAATGCCTATCCCCCCGCGGGCGGGCCTCGCGGGGGGCCCCGCGTGGTCTGGGCGGCAGCGAAGATGTCGGCATTCAGTTCGAATCATAAATTATCCCAAGACTGAATCTGCCGCGACATGTCGACCGGCGGCAAGTCGATGTCACCGGAGCGCATCTCCCAAGCTCGCGGGCGCAACTTCCCGTCCAGCTGACCAGC